GCTGGCAGGAAAGTTGACATTTTAAACCTTAATTAAAAATGAATACAGGGCTTTAGAATATCGATACAGTATCGGGAAATGAAATATCGCGATATTTCAGTGTATCGATATTTTCTTACACCCCTAGTGAATTGTCTAAGAAACTTTTTAATTCTGAGAAAAAAAAACGTCAACTCAGCAGATTAACTCAGAACAGCTCTGTGATGATTCCTCAGCTCCACAAGACACAACAGATTTGTCGCTGCGTAAAGTTGTGTGTAATTTATGGATCAATGTCAGCTGTTCTGCAGGGTGATATCACCACAAGAAGAATTGAGGACAGCATGTTTGTTTGTTTGTTTGTTTGTTTGTTTATTTGTATCACACCAAAAAAATAAAATCAGGTATTTTACTGTAGTTCTGAGTCGAGTCATGCAGTTGATCTGAATGAGAAACTTCATGATTTTAAAATATAAATTCTACACCGCAGCAGAATCTCACCCGTTCCTTCACTTCAACCATTTAATAAATATTTTTCTAAGTTCTACCAAACTCATAGTTTCTCTGTGTTTACAGTCATTTATTAAAGACGTGTAAAGGTGGAAATGTCTCTCAGCCTCATGCGCCGCTGCAGCACACACGTGCGCACACACCAACACACCTTTGCGAGTGGCAAACACATTTTTACAGCCCACTACTTATTTAGACAGTTTTCTCACTCATTCTCCATTTAATGTATAACTTCCCTGCATCTAAAACTCATTTCTGATCCCACAGAGAGGACAATCTGAGGAAAACCTCACACCATTTACATCTATTTTACAAATTTAAATGGAGGCGTGTCAGGGGAGGAGTCAGTTCTACCTTCGTTGGGATGTATAAAGGAAAGGTGCACAGGAACCTGTGTGTGCACAGTTTTATACGTCTGTATAAAACTGTGCGCACAGAGGTTCCTGCGTGCGCACAGTTTTATACATCTGAATAAAACTGTGTGCACGCAGGAACCTCTGTGCGCACAGTTTTATTCTGATGTATAAAACTGCGCACACAGGTTCCTGCGTGCGCACAGTTTTATTCAGATGTATAAAACTGTGCGCACGCAGGAACCTCTGTGCACACAGTTTTATTCAGATGTATAAAACTGTGCGCACGCAGGAACCTCTGTGCACACAGTTTTATTCAGATGTATAAAACTGTGCGCACGCAGGAACCTCTGTGCACAGTTTTATACATCAGAATAAAACTGTGCGCACGCAGGAACCTCTGTGCACACAGTTTTATTCAGATGTATAAAACTGTGCGCACGCAGGAACCTCTGTGCGCACAGTTTTATTCAGATGTATAAAACTGTGCGCACGCAGGAACC